TTTCTCTGCGGATTCGGGCTCCTCTCAGCGAGCGCACTCCAACCCCATCTTCAAAAAAATAAAAATAAAAATTCCTGGGATGTTTTTTGGCTCGTCTGGTTTTGCCGGGCGGACCCCCCCCAGTCTGTCTGGCCCGGTCCGTCAGGCCCGGTCCATCTGAACCGGGCGTCGGCGTAACCCAGGTTTAGATTCTTTAGAATCATGGAGTTTTAATATGATGTCGCTGTCCTCTCTCAGAGTGCACAGCCAGGAATGGTGAGTCTTAATATGATGTCACTGTCTTCTCCCGATCCACAGCCAGGAATGCTTTCTTTTTTTTCTTCTGTTTTGCGGCTTTTGCCCTATAACCGGCAATTGTCTTCGGGCTATATATCCCAACTTCCCACAAATCACAAGTGCTGCCCATTGGTGTCTACCACAGCCAAATGTTCTTCCTTCTCCTTCCTGTGCTGCTCAACCACTAATGCCACTGCTCCAGACTTACTGGCAAGATGGACTGCAACACTTGTCTGTTCTTTTTTTGCGGCTTTTGCCCTATAACCGGCAATTGTCTTCAGGCTATATATCCCAACTTCCCACAAATCACAAGCACTGCCCATTGGTGTCTACCACAGCCAAATGTTCTTCCTTCTCCTTCTTGTGCTGCTCAACCACTAATGCCACTGCTCCAGACTTACTGGCAAGATGGACTGCAACACTTGTCAGTTCTTTAAAAAAGAAAAAAAAGAACGACCGGAAGCCCCTAACCTTCTTGTATCCATTTGAGTGCATCAAAATTCAAACTCATGATTTGTTTCTTAATAGTAACATGTGTGTACCATTCAGCGAAATGGGCTGGGTGGAACCCTTCACTTCTTGTCAAACGTGAAGAGATCCACCAAGAAGTGAAGAAATGGTTGCAATTTTTATTAATCTCCTGTGGCAATCTTCTCTGTTGAAAAGTGAACGGTTCCACATAAACCATGCTATCCTCTCTTTACCATTTCTACTTTAACTAATGTCGCAAAGGATCACTTCTTTTCAGAGAGGGGTTTGAATCTATCTCCTCCAATTTTCCTCCCAAGCAGTGGTCTTTTTCCCTTTAGGCTTACAACCAAAAAAAGAAAGAAAATGGAATTTGAAAAAGAGTGTCAAATACACACCTATTGACACCTGAGACTGCCTTGTGAAGCATATGGTTCAGAATAAGCATGGCCTTGATGATCTGACTCAAATTCAAAACCACCATGCAGTGACATATTTTCACATTCAGAAAGTGTTAGCATTTATTGTCTCAACGGATCTCTCTCTCTCTCTCTCTCTCTCTCTCTC